ATCGCTACCCAACGTTTGGCGGCTGGATCGCGTGGCCAGGGGTGGAGGATGCAGGGGAAGGGAGGAGGGTTGGAAATGGTTAGAGGTGTTGGTTCACAGGTGCCTAAGTACAGCTCAGAAGGCACGACTGAGGCCAGGATAGTGGAGAGGAATGAAGATGCCAGTCAGGAGTTTAGGACGATGAACGGTGACAGTAATTGGGAGTGGTAGGTGATGGGTGCCCCGAAGCGGCTCTAGAGATAAGGATTAGAAGGGGAACAAGGGTGCTAGTCGGGAGTTCGGAGCAAGAACTGCACACTGCAGTAAAGAGAATAAATAGCAGTGCGCACCAGAATAGCCGGTGCAATCATGTGTTTTGTGTAATTCCGTCTACCGGACGATTGCCTGCTAATGTTGGAAAACAGTTAAGAGTCTTACACACCGGTGCGTGAAAGCTGAATCTGAAACTCGAAGGGTGAATATCCTTCCAAAATTTCAATTTCCAAATTTTCTGGCTTTCGAATGATGTCTGAGACAAAACTTCCACATTTTCGTACGTGAGACCTCGGCATATTTAGGAACGGAGTTCGAGTTTGTGAAGCCCCTGCTTAGATAGGAAACATTCCTCTACAATTTTCAGCCCCTTAACTCTTCTGGCTCCTGAGATAACGATTTTACTCGCCAAAACTTCCATGGGAACGTTGAAAACTTGCGGAGTTGTCGTGGGCAGGGGATGCCACGCTAAAATTTCATCTTCCTAGCTTTTGCAATTTACGAGATAATAATATTCCTACCAAACTTCCAGAAGGCCGTACGTGGTACTCAGAAGTGCATGAAGGCTGAATCCAAATCTGCGGGGGTCCTACGCTGACAGGGGACGCCGCCCTGAAATTTCAGATTCCCAACTTTCGTGGTTCGCGAGATAATAATTTTCCTCGCCGAAACTTTCACGGGGCCGTTACTGATATCCGGTAGTGCGGGAATGCCGAATTTAAATTTGCAAAATCGTACTTAAACAGGGGGTCATTATCCTGAAATTTCAGTTTTCTAGACTTTGCGATTCCCGAAATAATAATTTCCCCACCAAAACTTTCATAAGACCGTACTTGTTACCCGCGGGCAAGGGAGGGCTAAATTTAGATTCTCTGGGTCGCATGTGGGCATGGGACATGTACACAAAATTTCAGCCTTCTACCTTGCGTGATTCTTGTGGTAATAATTTTACCCACCATAATTTTTACGGGGCCGTACGTGTTACTCGCGGGCAAGGGAAGGCTGAATCTAAATTTTCTGGTTCGTGCGTGGACAGGGACATGCCCGCAAATTTCCAGCCTTCTACCTTTCGTGATTCCTGTGATAACAGTTTAAAACTTTTACCGTTAAATACCGTTAAAACTTTTATGGGGCTGCACGCGTTATCCGTGGGTACGGGAAGGTTGAATCAAATTTGCAGGGTCACACCGTGGGCGGAGAAAGTAACTCTAAATTTTCAGCTCCCTAGTTTTCGCAGTTCCCGAGTTGAAAGTCGCGAACAAGTTGCTGCGGACACGCATACAAGCACACACACTGACAACCCCACGACAATATGCGTTTAGTGCAGCTGTTGCACAGCACAAAACGCATAAAAAATGCAGAAGCAAACAAAAACTCAGCTTATGCGATTGGGAATTGTCTTACAACCCAGGCTGGAACGCACCAGGCGAGGCGGTGCGCCCATGCGTTTTTGCACCAAGCTTGAAGTAATTTGGTTAACTGCATGACTAGTTACTGGTTCACACCTGCTTTGTGCGCTCAATATCATAAATCATCGTAAATTTTGCATAAACGAAAATAAATGATTTCCGTTTAACGGTCGTTTTTATGCGTTTTTTGCAGCTGTGCAGTGCAGAAAACGCATACTGACGAGGCGTTGTCTGTGTGTGCGTT